CCATTCATCCCTCTTTCCCCAAAAACCACCCACCCACCCGCACTATCCTTGCACGTCCTCTCTCCAGCCAGCTAAAGACATCCTGTCTGTCCACCTATGTGTCAGTCTGCCCAATCATCCATCCTTCCCTACCCATCCGCCCGTCCATCTCTCCAGCCCCCTCCTTCCCTCGCCCTCACCCTCTCCAAAGGATCATAGAGAAAAACACGCACATCAGTACAACGGAGCCCAAGGCAAGGCCTAGTAGGAGCCCCCCGCAGCGACAGACATGTCTTGGAGGGGCCTGGGGAGAGGACGGAAACTCTGGGGTGGGTCTGGGAGAGCGTGTCCACCTGGGGTGGGATATGGGCACCCTGTCTCCATGCCCCCTGAGAGTCCCAGAGGATGCTGGGACTGGGGCTTGTTCGCTCCCCGCACAGGATAAACTAGCTCCTGGACAGCTGAGCATAGGAATGGAAAGTGAGCCGCACCCTTGTTTGATGGGCAAACAGAGCCGGGAACAAAGAGGTAAGATTGGAGTGGGGTGGGAATAGAGGCAAAGCAGGATATACTGCATTTTCTCATACAGAAAAAAAACAACCAGCTTCTGGGAACTGGCATGAGTGTAATAGGTGGGGAAATACGGTGAAAAGCAGCTCATGCCTTTTACCGGAGAAAGGGGAAGTCAAGTCCACAGCAGCAGCTAGGGCTCCAGCTTTTGGCTGAGCAGAGGTTGAGTCAGTGGCAGATGAGGCTCCGCGCGCTCTTGGTGAAGCCATAAATCAATGTGCATGTCCTATATAAGGAAATATGGTACAGCATTGATTTGTAGGCCATAAGCCCTGTGTGTGCTACAGCCGGAGGTCACCAACCCTCCCTGCCCCCGAGGTGGGACCGGAAGCCCAACCACCGGACTCCCCCTGTGTTTTCAGGCCCTCCCTGGAGATTCACCAGTTAATGGTGTGACAATTATTTTGCGCGTGTGGCCAGTCTCAATTTACTGTGCAATTCCCCAGTTAATTATGTGCTCATTATTTTGTGTGCGTAGCCGGTCTCCATTTATTGCGCGCTTCACCACCTAATGGTGTGATAATTACTTTGCATGTGTGGCTAGTCTCCATTTATTGTGCAAGTCACTAGTTAATTGCATGGCTTGTGTATGTGGCCAGTCTCAATGTATCGCGCAATTCCCCAGTTAAGTGCGTGATAATTACTTTGCACACATGGCTGGTCTCCATTTATTGCGCGATTCACTAGTTAATTGTGTGATCATTTATTTGCACATATGGTTTCAGTTTTCTTCACGATCCTTCAGTTGTGTGATAATGACTTTGCACACTTGGCTAGCCTCCATTTATTGCACGATTCACCAGCGAATGGTGTGATAATTACTTTGCACACGTGGCTGGCCTCCGTTCATTGCACGATTCACTACTTAACTGCGCGGTAATTACTTTGTGCATGTGGCGGGTCTCCATTTGCTGCACCATTCGCCAGTTAATAGCAGGAGGATACCTTGGCACATATGGCAAATCTCCATTTCTTGCGCGATTCCCCCGTGAATTGTAAGATAATGGCTTTGCGCGTGTGGCCGATTTCAGTTCATTGCGCGGTTCACCGATTAATAGTGTGATAATGATTTTATAAGTGTGGCTGGTCTTGGTATATTGCGCGATCCATCACTTCCAAGTGTCATATATGTAATGTATGGCAGGGGTCTGCGGGATGCAGGAGACGGGGCAAGGCAGATCTAGGGTCTGATCCAAGCAGTCACGGGTTGTATGTTCTTATGGGTGTCTAAGGGGGCAGCTCTCCCCGTCCGAGGGGACATCTTGGGGGCTCGAGAGCGGGACTTGTTTATGGCGCGGCGGCCGTTCTTGCGCTGTGACCATCTCGGATTCCCTTCCCAGGACTACTTGGGTTCACAGCAAGGGGTGGGGAAGGTTGTTATGTCTGGAGTTTCCTCCTTCCCATAAAATCAGTCCCTTGACTCATTAAGCCATAAAAGTGGCAGGGGCGAGAGCCGCGCCCTTGTGATACGTTCACAGCTGCAATGCCTTCAATGACCTTTGCGGACACCCTTGCTTTATGCTATGTCTATAGTACGTGACCGCTGCGGGCCCGTGGAGGGCAGCAATCCGCCCCCCCGAACCAACCCACCACTCAGTGCCGGCGGGGGGGGGCTGTGCCACGCGAGGTCAGAGCTGCGGGCTGCACGTGCGGAGTCGCGGGGGCGGGGCCAGCCCGAGCGGAAGGGGCGGGGCCTGGAGCACGCGAGTTCTT